GGTGCTAGACAGACAGTTTCTAATGATACCGAAAAAGGCTTTCCAGCTCCCCATGCCCTTGGGATGTGGTTCACACTCCTTGCCTACTCCTGAGGACCAGATTCATCTTTTGCTTTTGCCCCTTGTATTGCAGCACTATAGCCTCTTTCAGTTCCTTGAATATACCATGTTCTCTCATATCTGGGCTGTTTCCTTTGCCTGGAACAGTATTCTCTTCTTGAAACACAGTTTTTTTCCCCACCCTGCCTCCTTGCCTGGCTAATCTCCAACTCACGTTTCAGGCATCGGCTTGGAATGGTCTATTCCTGTCTCTTGCCTTCCTTTCAGCACCGTGCTCTTTCTCTCTCATACCACTTAGTCATTCATTCGTTCATTAGTTCAACAATATTTACTGAGTGCCTACTACAAGTCAGGCACCATTCTAGGCTTACCTATCATACTGTATTGTCATTACCTGCTTCAGTACTTTTTTTTTTTTTAAGACAGAGTTTCACTCTGTTGCCCAGGTAGGAGTGCAGTGGTTTGATCTCGGCTCACTGCAACCTCTGCCTCTCTGGTTCAAGCGATTCTCCTGCCTCCGCCACCCGAGTAGCTGAGATTACACGCGTGCACCACCATGCCCGGCTAATTTTTGTATTTTTAGTAGAGAGGGGTTTCACCATGTTGGCCAGGCTGGTCTCGAACTCCTGACCTCAAGTGATCCACCTGCCTCAGCCTCCCTAAATGCTGGGATTACAGGCTTAAGTCACTGCACCCCACCAATACTTATTGATCTATATGGTATGGTAGTGTAATTCAGATGCCCTAAAATTCACCCTTTTAAGTGTATAATTCAGCGGTTCTTAGTATATCTACAAGTCTGTGCAAGCATCACCATTACCCAATTCCCAAACATTTTTATCACTTTGAAAAGAAAGTCATTCAATTACCAAAAAAAAAAAAGTGATTTAAAAAAACAAGACCAGGTGTAGTGGCTCATGCCACTACAGGAGTTCGAGACCAGCCTGGCCAACATGGCGAAACCTCATCTTTACAAAAAAAAAAAAATTAGCCGGGTATGGTAGCACACACCTGTAATCGCAGCTACTCAGGGGGCTGAGGCGTGAGAATTGTTTGAACCCAGGAGGCAGAGGTCACAGTGAGCTGAGATCACACCACTGCACTCCAGCCTGGGTGACAGAGTGAGACTCTGTTTCTAAATAAATAAATGAATAAAACAGAAAGACACCTACTTTGTAACCACAAAAATCAAAAATTAAAAAATTAAAAAAAAAAAAACAAGAAAAACAGAAAGAGGCCGGGTGCAGTGGCTCATGTCTGTAATCCCAGCTACTCTGGGAGGCCGAGGCAAGTGGATCATGTGAGGAAGACTTGTCTCAAAAAAAAGAATTAGCAGCCAGGCACGGTGGCTCACGCCTGTAATCCCAGCACTTTGGGAGGCCAAGGTGGGCAGATCACGAGGTCAGGAGTTTGATACCAGCCTGACAAAACATGGTGAAACCCGGTCTCTACTAAAAATACGAAAATTAGCCGGGTGTGGTGGCACGCGCCTGTAATCCCAGCTACTCAGGAGGCTGAGGCACGAGAATCGCTTGAACCTGGGAGGCGAAAGTTGCAGTGAGCTGAGATTGCACCACTGCACTCCACCCTGGGTGACAACAGAGCAAAAAAAAAAAAAAAAAAGAATTAGTGTCACATGGTGGCATGTGCCTGTAATCCCAGCTACTTGGGAGGTTGAGGCAGAAGAATCACTTGAACCTGGGAGGTGGAGGTTGCAGTGAGCCAAGATCATGCCACTGTCCACCAGCTTGGGTAACGGAGCAAGACTCCATCTCAAAAAATAAATAAATAAATAAAAATAAAAAAACAGAAAGAAACCTATTAGTAGTCATTTTCCATTCTCCCCTCCCCGAAGCCATGGCAACCACTAATCTTTCTGTCTCCATGGATTTGCCTATTCTGGACATTTCATATAAGTGAAATCATATAATATATGGTCTTTTATGGCTGGCTTCCATATAGATCAATAAGTATTGATCAATATAGATCAATAAGTATTGGTGGGGTGCGGTGACTTAAGCCTGTAATGTGATTTTACTAGATTCATCCATGTTGTAGTATGAATTAGTACTTTATTCCTTTTTATGGCTGAATAATATTTCATTGTATAGATACACCACCTTTGGTTTACCTCGTTATCAACTGATGGGCATTTGGGTTGTTTCCACCTTTTGGCTCTTTTGAATAATGCTGCTGTGAACATTTATGTACACATTTTTCTGTAGACATATGTTTTGCTTTCTCTCGGAACTATACCTAGGTAGGAACAGAATTGCTGGGTGGTGTAACTCCATATTTAATCTTTTTGAGGAACTGATAGACTGTTTTCCAAAGCAGCTGCACCATTTTACATTTCCACCAGCAAGGTACAAGGGTTCCAATTTTTCCACCTCTCATCAATACTTACTATTGCCCTTCTCTTTGATTATAGCCATTCAAGTGGGTGTGAAATGTTTCTTCTGAAGTTCTATGAGAACAGGGACTCCATCTGTCTGGTTCGGCACTGTATCCCAGAACCTACTACAGTGCCTGGAATTTATCACATACTAAATATTTTGTTAAATACACTAAAAAACTGTTGAGTGAATGGATAAATCAAAAGCTATTTGGATAGTTACAATGGGTATCATGTATTTATCTCTCTAATAGGGATCTTCCAAGGGGTCTAATACCTTTTCTTTTGTTGTTAGTATAGTACTGAACCACTCTTCTGATACCATAGTCTTTCTTCTATAAGGAAATTGGATTAAATTTAAGCTTTCTTGTTTTTCCTCTTTAGGTATACACATACTCATATAGGCACCTACAGATAATTTATTAGATGTTGGCACATTTTGTTTCTTCCTATTTTTATTTCTCTAGCAAACAACTCTTACTTCTATAAGGCTGTTTGCTCACCTCCAGGTATTTCATGCTTGCAAATAGCTTTCCTCCTGTTTCCAGGCTGGCCACACTGGAACAATCAATATCTGTGACAGGCTAGCCTTACTCTTTTGGTTTTCTTTTAATATTTCTCTACACCCTGTTTTGGCCCCCCAGTTTAGAAGTATCTGGGGTCATTTAATAGGTAGAAGTCAGTTAAGCCAGGGACTGTGTGATCCTCACAGCCAGCACCTAGCACTTGATAAACAGTTGTTTAGCTGTCACAGTGGCTCATGATGTAATCCCAGCACTTTGTGAGGCTGAAGTGGGAGGACTGCTTGAGGCCAGGAGTTCCGGCCTGGGTAACATAGGGAAACTCCCATCTCTACTATATATGAATGTATGTACATATATATATTTTTTGAGACAGTCTCTTTCTGTTGCCCAGTCTGGAGTGCAGTGATGTGATGTCGGTTCATTGCAACCTCTGCCTCCCAGGTTCGAGCCATTCTCCTGCCTCAGCTACCCAAGTACCTGGGACCATAGGCATGAGCTACCACACCCGGCTAATGTATTTATTTTCTATTTTTATTTTTTTAGTAGAGACAGGGTTTCACCATGTTGGCCAGGCTGGTCTCAAACTCCTGACCCCAGGTGATCCCCCCTCCCCCCGCCCCCGCTCCGTCTCCTAGAGTGCTGGGATTACAAGCGAGTCACCATGCCTGGCCTGATTTTCAAATTTTTAACAGACTTTTACTCAGGAGGCTGAGGCAGGAGAATTGCTTGAACCTGGAAGGCGGAGGTTGTCCAGCCTGGGCTACAGAGCAAGACTCCATCTCAAAAAAAAAAAAAAAAAAAAGAAAGGAAAAACAGGCCAGGTGTGGTGGCTCACGCCTGTAATTCTAACACTTTGGGAGGCCAAGGCGGGTGGATTACCTGAGGTCAGGAGTTCAAGACCAGCCTGGCCAATGTGGTGAAACCCTGTCTCTACTAAAAATACAAAAAATTAGCCGGGTGCAGTGACACGCGCCTGTAATCCCAGCTACTCGGGAGGCTGAGGCAGGAGAATCTCTTGAACCTGGGAGGCGGAGGTTGCGGTGAGCCGAGATTAGGCCACTCCACTCCAGCCTGGGTGACAGAGTGAGATTATGTCTCGAAAAAAAAAGAAAGAAAAAAAAAGAAAAAGAAAAACAGTTGTTCAGTGAATGAATGTGAATATAGGAGAGAAAGACGGACTGAGGTATCAAAGGAACCCTCCCTTGCAAAATGATGCAGGCTTGGTCAACAATACACCTATTGAGTACCCACCGTGTCCTTGGCCGTGGTGTAGGCCGAAACACAGAACATGGTAAACAAAACAGGGCTCCAACCTTGGACATAAGGTTTCTATAATCACTTCTAGCTACGTTGTTTTATTTCCATATCCATATCTATTCACATTTTATGGTACCTCTATTGATTCTGAAAATTACATTTTAGCTAAGGAATCTACTCATTTGCTTAAGCCCAAAATAGGAAGTTCTGACCTAGTGTCAGCAACACTCCGGATTCACAAGTGTCCCCATGGCGCTGTTTACCCCCAAATAGCGAAACCCCGCCAAATGTTGAGATTCCGGACCTGAGGGGTGCTTGGATGGGGAACCCCCGAAAGAATGGACATCATGTCCACCAGAGGGTGCTGTGGGGGCAAATTTGTGCCAGGAGGGGAGCTCGACTGGTGACCCTCAGAGCCAGGTAGGCGTAAGGAGTAAATCTCCTTCTTCCTGGTGTTTCCTTCCCACCCCCTCGAACCATTGCTGCCCCTCCCCCATACGTGGTTCCCCCTGAATAATTTGCCATTTTCAGGGACTTAAGAAGTGTTTGCTTTTCAAAGACATCTGGTTTCTGTGGCTAACGCCCAGTGGCTCAGGCCGCCCAGGTCACAGGCCGGCCGGGGGCGGGCGGTGGGTGGGGACTGCTGGGGCGTCAGCTGCCCGGGCGCCGCAGGGGCCGCGAAAGGGTTAACCCGATGGGGGGAGGGGGAGGGGGCGCGGGGCGCGCCTGCGCTCTGCCGCCCTCCATTGTCTCCACGGCGGCGAGGAGCGCCGGCTAGCGCTGCCCGGGACCGAGCGGGGTGGCGCGGCTGGCGGGGCCGGCGGCGACTGAAGCGAGAGCGCGACGCGACGCGACCGCGGCTTCCCGAGCTGCGCCTGGCCGCCCAGCGCCGCGGCCCGGCCGAGGCCTGGAGAGGTCCGGGCCGCCGTCCATGGTCGCGGCGTCCTGAGGCGGGGGACGCGCCTGGCGCCCCCGGTCCTCCGCCTCCTCCCGCGGGGCGGGCGGCCTCCTCCGGCGCCTCCCCGCGCCCGCCTGCCTCTCGCCGCCGCCTCCCTCCCTCCTTTCCTGCGGCTCCCCCGGCTTTCGGAGCCCGGGGGCGGCCTGTGGCGCGCGGAGCCCGCGCCGGACTGCGCCTCTTTGGACCTTGAGGGGAAACATGCGTTTGGCTTGGATCGTTTGAAATTCTGAGTTTGGGATCCCCGCCCGCCCGCCTGCCTCTTCCGCCCCGCGGGTTTTTTCCTTTTTTCTTTTGCTTTTTTTCTTTTCTCCCTTCGGGTCTCCTTTTTGACTCCCTCCCCCTTTATGCTCGCCCAGCCCTCCCCCCGCTGCTGAGAAGTGGGGGAGGGTCTCGGCCTCCAGGTTCCCGCCCCACCGGGGCCCGGGCGAGCATGGGGGGCAAGCAGAGCACGGCGGCCCGCTCCCGGGGCCCCTTCCCGGGGGTCTCCACCGATGACAGCGCCGTGCCGCCGCCGGGAGGGGCGCCCCATTTCGGGCACTACCGGACGGGCGGCGGGGCCATGGGGCTGCGCAGCCGCTCGGTCAGCTCGGTGGCAGGCATGGGCATGGACCCCAGCACAGCCGGGGGGGTGCCCTTTGGCCTCTACACCCCCGCCTCCCGGGGCACCGGCGACTCTGAGAGGGCGCCCGGCGGCGGGGGGTCCGCGTCCGACTCCACCTATGCCCATGGCAATGGTTACCAGGAGACGGGCGGCAGTCACCATAGAGACGGGATGCTGTACCTGGGCTCCCGAGCCTCGCTGGCGGATGCTCTACCTCTGCACATCGCACCCAGGTGGTTCAGCTCGCACAGTGGTGAGTCCACGGTGGTGGAGGCCTCGGAGGGAGGGCGCGCCGAGGCGCCCCAAGCCTTCGCGTGCGTGCCAAGGTTTGGGAATATAGTGCACGACCGGGATCTGTCTGCCTTCCCTTTGGTTCCCGATGCCAAGGGATGAATGGGATACCTACCCTCTGGAAACTAGGCTTTCTGCAAGGTTGCGGAGCCTGGCGATGTAGGACTCCCGGCGTGTGTTCACTTGTGGAAGGGCAGAGCGAAGCCTACCTATTGGAGTCCCATTTATTGGCATCTCCCTCCTCAGAGAAGAGGTCTTCTCTGGCTGAGAGCAAGTCAGCCTGGGTGCTTCCATTCTGCCACTGCAGCACTGTGCCTGCCTCACCAGTAACGGAGAGATGGAGCCAGTTGGAGCAAGCAGTGTCTCCTAAACAGAGAGTATGAAAATGAAATAAAATTAGGGGCAAGTGATGCCTGGATTAGGGCTCTCACTCTTGCTGGGAGAGAGAGGTACCCAGTTTTGCCACCCTGCTGGAGATCTGTTTGAAATGTTTAAAATGGAGCAGCCGGCAGGCGGCTGGCATAGACAGGTGTGGCTGCTGTACGGAGGGCCCAGTCGGCGAGTCTCGCGGGGGCTTTGCAGGACCAGGGCTCTGGTCACCCGTACTGCATGCAGCAGACTTGGCTCCACGACTCTCACCTCCCTCCATCTTTTTTCTTCTGCTCCATGCTAAGTGCTTGGTCTTCCCGTGAATCTGCATCTTTTTGTAACAGGGAGCCTGTCAAGGTGGGGCATTATTGCCTGACTGTTGGCACATGACTGGGGAAAAGGAGGATTCAGAGAATCTGGATGAATTCATTTTATGAACTTCTGGTGACAGGCCAGCAAAAGGTTGGAGGGGGATTTCCCAGGCTCCTAGTGGGAGGGCAAAAAAGGCCTGGCAGGAGGAAAACAGGTCTGTCTGCTAGGTCAGGCTTCTAGAAAATTGGCCAAAAGGTGTGTGGGGCCGCTGTTTGCTAATTGGCAAGTTGAGTGAATAAGTTACATCTTAAGGTTCTTTTAGGTGAGTTGGGAAAATTTAGATATTGTGTAGGGGAAAGATTGCTCCTGCCTTTAGGGTACTTTATGGAGGGTAATATCTCGTGGATCACTGTTTTACCCACTGTGAAATAGGGTTGACTTTTGGGGTATCACTTTCTCCCTCCCTGCAAATAGCCTGGGGTTTGTTTTCATTTGGTTCGGTTTTTTGTCAATTCTATAAACTATGTGAAATAGAGTTGGAGGACGAACTGTTAGTGACTAATTTAGGGTAACCCTTAGAAGTAGCTTGTGAATTGTTAGGATGATATTTTAATCTCTGAACAGACCTCCGGATATCATTGGAGCTTTTCTGACCTCATCGAACTCTGACCTGAATGAGATGCAAAACATGATTGCCTTTGGCTCTTTCAGACATTTGATCAAAATTAGGCATTTTGAAATTAATAATCTTTCCTATGAAATTTAGTTCAGAGAGTTAGCCATATTTTTGAGATGACTGGTTAGGTGTTTAAAAGAACTGTAATGAGCATCTGGTTTTGAACTTAAAGGCACTATACGAAGTTTCTCTAAAATCACAGAATTTTGTGTGTTGAAAAACATGAGATATGTAGGGAGGAAGAAAGGGAGTTTTTTTTTTTTTTTGCTGAAATTTCTTAAGTCTTCCTCTTACTAAAAATTTATTTATTATGCTACTGCCAGGTTCCATGCTAAAGTTATGAGCTTATAATTGGATTCCAGAATTTCAGTCCTAAGCTGTGAAAGCTTATTTTTTTTCATCCTGTTATGGTGAGAGTAGGGAGAGCCACTGAACTGTGGGGACAGGAAAGTTGGAGCACATTAATCCTTTGGGGAAGGGTGTCAAAAGCGTGTATGGGAGGCTGCTATTAATATTGTAGGTAATCTGTTCCTTACTGTGTAGGACCATCATGTCCTTCTGCAAGACACTGAGCATACCTGGCCCCACCTACTAAGTGCTGATAGCATCCAGCAGTTCAGTGTGTCACCCCAAAATGCCCCCAAGAACTCCCAAATGCCCTCTGGGGTGTGGGTGGTATCACTCTGGTTGAGAACCACTGCTTTACGAATTTATTCTTTTATTTACATAAAGTCATTAACTTTTCCTGTGCAGTTCATTTGAGATGAACCTTCGTGTGCAGCATCGGTTCCATCTCACCTGAAACAGACCATGGGATCTTCCAGGACATGTTTCCTCTGTTGCTCATTGCTGCAAGAAGCAAAACTTGTTTCTGCTTTAGAGCCTTTGAGTAAGGTCTAAGCAGCTTTTGCTGTTGTGTTGTAAGATTAGAAGGGTAAAGATTTTGGTGCACAATTGATTAGATGCCTGGAAGTTGATATGATGCGTTTCCTTGTGTTTTCAAGGTGCTCTTGCAACTCTTCATGGGTACAGAAAACAGTTGTCAGTGAAATACATGGGGGAGTTCAGTGTATCCGAGGCCATCTCAGAGAGCGTGGGCTTAGGCTGAGTCTAGAGGTAGAATACGGAAGAGCCCTGGTCCCAGCTCCTCCTCTGAGCAGCTGTGACCTTGGGCAAGATACATCCCCTCTCTCGAGCCTCATCTTTGTCGTTTTTAAGATAGTTGTGGTCATCCTCATGAGCTCCAGCCTTGCTCCGCAAATCCCGGGAGAGGAAGCGCTGTAGTCACATTTGTCTTCTCTAGGTTCCTGGCTTCCCTGTGCTGTGACCCCCACGTATCCCATTCCCTATGCCTGGAGTGCTTTTCTGTCCATTCTTCACACGCAATCCTCTTTCTGATCCCTTAGGGCTTAGAGACCACTCTTAAAAATTGGCCCCTCCTGTTATTCTCTCCAGTCACTCACTTGTTACCTTAATCATTCTTTTTTTTTTTTTTTTTTGAGATGGAGTTTCACTCTTGTTGCCCAGTCTGGAGTGCAGTGGCATGACTTCAGCTCACCGCAGCCTCCGCCTCCCGGGTTCAAGCAATTCTCCTGCCTCAGCCTCCGGAGTAGTTGGGATTACTGGCATGCGCCACCACGCCTAATAAGCTTGGGGCTAATTTTGCATTTTTAGTAGAGATGGGGGTTTCTCCATGTTTATCAGGCTGGTCTCAAACTACCGACTTCAGGTGATCTGCCTGAACCGGCCTCCCAAAGTGCTGGGATTACAGGCGTGAGCTACTGCGCCCTGCACCTTAATCATTCTTAACATACTTTGTAAACATTTTATCTTTTACTTTTTTTGCGTACAGTTTGCCTAAAGTCTAAGCTCCATGAGAGCAGGACTGTGTTCCTTGATCTCTGCTGTGGGTCCTGCACTGTGCCTTCCTCTCACATTTTTTGAGTACCTGAATTTGAGTGCTTCATGTTCATCATCTCACTTAATCATCACTATAACTCTATGAAGTAAGACTGTTCTCCCCTACCCCCATTGTACAGGTAAGGAAACAGGTTTGCGGGAGGTTAAGGAACTCACACGAGATCAGGCAGTTGGTAGGTGGTGGAGATGGGATCAGAATGCAGGTTGGCTGGTGCCAGAACCTGGGCTTTTAACCAGCACCCTCTTCTGCCTCTTATCTGAAAACATTAGGAAGTCGCGCGGTGTCCTGGAGATTGTGCTGGCCTGCGAGTCAGAGTGCTGGGCCCATTTCCTGGTTAGACAGCTGATTAGCTGCTTGACCTGTGACCTTGGGCAAGTGAGTCATTTAACCTCAGTCACAATTTATTCATCAGTAAAATGGAGAAGACACCTGTCCTGCTTACCTCTCAGAGTCATGATGAGGGTCTCATGAGATAATGTGCACAAAAGCCAAAGGACATCTAAATGGAGAGTGGTGGAGTTCCAATGGGGGCACTCTCTTATAGTTGTCTGCCTTCAGTCACTTCAGATTTTTTTTTTTTTTCTTTTGAGACAGGGTCTCATTCTGTTACCCAGGCTGGAGTGCAGTGGCAAGATCGTAGCTCACTGCAGTCTCAGACTCCTGGGCTCAGATGATCCTCCCAGCTTGGCTTCCCAAAGTGCTGGGACTACAGGCGTGAGCCACCGTGCCTGGCCTAATCGTCTCAGAATTTGATGGGTGGAGAGGTTTACAGCTGTGCTAGCTGTAGCCCCCAAATGGAATCTGGTTCTGTGTCCTAAAGTCTGACCTGCATTGGTGGGCTGCTTTTACTCATAATGCCGCTGATAAGTGCTGCTTTCTAGAAGCAGAGTGAGTCCCTTCCATTCCACGTTAAAATGTAAGTTTTGCTGTAACTCCTGATGGCTGCCTCGGTGCTATTCTGGAGGTCTGGTCATTCTCTTTCAGTAGTTATGTTTGTCTCAGAGTATGGATTTCCAAATGTGGGATACAAAACATGCAGGATTCACCATGTTGAAAGAAGTTGCTGTTTTCTAGGTTCTACTATAAAAGGGCTGGCCATTGAGGGCTTCACTTCAACTTCTTAGTCGTATATATATATACGTATATATATACGTATATATATACACACACATTCAGAAAAGTCTAAACTGTTCTTTATTGTCATCAAGCCATCAACTGAGACTGATACAAGGTGATTGTGTTTTGTTTTTGTTATTTATTTATTTTTTTGAGACAGAGTCTTGCTCTGTCACCCAGGCTGGAGTGCCATGATGTAATCATGGCTCACTGTAGCCTCAAACTCCTGAGCTCAAGCCATCTTCCCACCTCAGCTTCCAGAGTAGTTGCGACTTAGGTGCACACCACCACGCCTGGCTAATTTTTATACAATCTTTTGTAGAGATGAGGTCTCACTGTGTTGCCCAGGCTGGTCTCAAACTCCGGGCTTTAAGCAATCCTCCCACCTCAACCTCCCAAGGTATTGGGATTATAGGCATAAGCCACCATGCCTGGCCCAAGGTGCCTTTTAATAAGTCTTTGAACATGCTAGCAGGATATCTCTTGGGTTCTATTTTGCTGCCACTGTAGGGTTCTCAAGTGATTTAATTTTCTTTTATTGTTAGCTAATGGGGGAGAGTTGCCCGCT